TAATCAGTAGTTTTATCAAAATTCATATGTTACAGGGACTTCGAATCTCCGCCATCTCCGAGATCGTCAGATCTAAATCTACCTTAAGCGATCGTCGAATCTAAGGGGGGTTAATTTTACCAGAAAAATAACAAAATAGCTTCAGTATACGGAACTTATAGCCGAATGGACTTGCTTTACATGGTGGGATCTAGATTGCGTTACTCTATCGCAATTACTGATCGTGTAACTTTTTTTCTGCCAGGTTTTTTAGATCTAGCGAATGGACGGTATAAAAATAAGCGATTTTTTTGTCTTGTAAAGGTGGGTATTAATAACTTTTTTTTTTGTTTGTGTATAATTTTTTTACCCGACCATAGTTATTTCTTAAAGTAATGAAACATTTTATCTAACGGAGACTATGAAACGATTTTTTACTTACTATAAATTTTTTACGAAAAATGAGCAGTAATAAAAAAACCACCACCCCTAAGAACAAGAAAAACAAGACCCCCAACCATTCAAAACGACAATTTTTATCTTGTAAGTAGACTTCGTGCCGTGTTAGCGCATTCACACTGAAATATAATTATCAGAATTAAGTTTTTATTTTACTAAAAATTAGATAATTATACTTGGGAAAAAATGTCAAAAAAAACTTAGAACGTGATAGGGACAATGATGATAATGATTGGATAAATTCCGGTCAGCGACAGAATATGTTAGATCAAATGTAAACCCCACTAACATAGTCCATTAAGGGTGCCTCTTTGAGGCGTATGTTTTTTTTATTTGTATTTTTTTTTTATTATAGTAAAAATACTTCTTTTATTTGTATATTTTCGTTCCGGCATTAATTTTATAAATAAAGAAAGGGGTCTGGTGACCTCATCATTTTTTATTTTAACACGATTTTTGATGACTTTTATCTATTATCACTTACCTATTATTTTATGCTGTTACATTAATTCCTCCCGTATAATTAAATCTGCATCTAATATTATAGAATCCCCTCACATATCGAGTTATTTAATACAGTAATAAATACAAAATTTTGATCGTTAAAAATGAAGATATCCCTAAAAGAATTTTTTTATTATTGCAAAAATAAGTGAATGCAGGATGTACCTAATGTATTTGCCTATTGTTTCTTGATTTTTTAGTTGATGATTCATCGCCGGAAGTTTGCATTAATTGCAATAGGAGTCATATCAGCCAGTTGCGAGACGCACTCATCACCCGCCAGACGCACTATTGGGCTAGCAAAAGGCCGGATATTTTCTCCATCTCGTACATCCACCGGGACGCACCCATCACCCGCCAGACGCACTATTGGGCTAGGTGGAGACAAGAAGTTTATGCATCATGCGAAAACCTAATAAGATAGAGTTACTAAAGCAGTCTCGTAAAGTTTCCGAGATAAAAAAAAAACAGTGGGATCAGTGTCATATTGTCACGTGCTACACGTGATAAATGTATTCGCGTTTATATACCCTGATGAAACGCGTTATCTGAGAGACAAATAGACTTCAATATGGATTGGGTCCCCCCAGAGCTTCTTAAGGACAGTGTTGACAATTATTTCTTTGTAAATATGTGGTGCGACTGGTCACTTATTGGATTTCTTGAGACTAAGAGAAGTCAAATCCTTGCTGACCTTCAAAAGGTAGCTGTGCATCATTCATATAAGAGAGATTTATGGAGGCAGAACCGCCCGACGACGTCTCCTTCGCCATTATGAAACAACTAACACAAAAAATAACAGAAAGTGAAGAAGTCAAATTGTTCTGGAAAACAATAACTGCTGAGAAGAAATATAGGGAACAGTTAACTAATATCAAAGCCAGTACTTCATTTGAAAGTGTAGGTCTGTGTGCTTGCATGTGTTTTTTCGATCACATTGCATTAATTTAGAAACATTTCCTTTTAGGATGTTCTCAAGATTCGTGGGAAAAGATTTGTTGAAGAAATTGATGATGTGGCTCGACGAGATGTAAAGAGAGTGGAACTTGGAAATGACAATGAAGATATTAGTACACCCACTAGAATTAAATTTAATGCCCAAAGCGAAAAAGTAAAAAATGGAGAATACGAGAAAGTGGAGATCGACGAGAAGGAACAAATAACATTTTGGACAGGAAATCATGAACAAGCTAACAACCAAACAAAACAAAAGTTAGAATTGTTCTCAACTCCTCATAAACCGATTCTTACACCACATAAGTTTAGTATGATATCTCTTAAAGTTATCCCGGGGTTTAAATCCCTTAAAAATATTCTTAAAATAAGATATCCTGAGATAGTAAACGAGATAGAAACTTATGAGGAAGAACAGAAAAGGCTAGCTAGCCTAGGAACAACTCTTAAGGTATGGCTGGGAAAAATTTTATCATCAACCACTCCAGAGGAGTTATATAAATGCCTTACGGAGCAATTGCAAGGCGAAAATATCACAGACCGAGACAAGAAATTACATGAAATATTTGAGTTAACGTTAAAGGAATTTTATTTAATGATTAAATACAATCCAAAACATGATCTCGTAAGACATAATTCGGAGAGAAAATTCCTCGTTGAAAGGGTGTCAACACCTTTTAAACTCGTCGAATATGTGTTTGGAACCATTACGACATACTGGATTGAAAAAGAAATAATGTCAACAAAGGCAACAGAGTTCGTAGATAACCCAATTGGTACGCCAGTATCCAAAAAAGCTGATGCACTGGCCACAGATCTTACAAATAATATAGACGTGATGAATATGGAATCATCAGGAGGTCCCTTTCAACAAGATAGAAAACATACTCTCGAGGATTCAGAAAAGATCTCAAATACTGGAGTAAATATTCTTCTTACAAGTCTCCGAAAATATCTTGGTGCTAGTATTGAGACCGCCAAGAAACTTAAAACATTCAATATTCAAATCGTTGGTATGCAAATTATTTCTTATATTATATATATACTGATATATTGATATTGATATAACAATTTTTGTAGAAGATCGAATCACGCTAATGGAAGTATCTCTTTACAAACCACGGATTTGCAAAGAGATCGAAGTCAGAAGCGCCGTCTTTCCATTTGCTTTATCCTCCATAGGAGAATATATGCGTATTTTTGAGCTCATAACGTATTATGTGGTATGTTATTCTGTCCAATCCTATCAAAGTAAGTGATTAACTTTTGTGCATATCTAGGACGAACTTCTCAAGCGCCAAGAGGTCATACGAGAGTTGTCTAAAGAAACTAATGGAGTAAAGGAGATAACTTCAGAAATATTTTCGGATTGGTGGAATAAGACTTTATAATAATCTGCTATCTACAAACAACCGAAATGGTTGCGTAATAGTAGCCTATTTGTTTTTTTTTTTAGAGATATGTTACAGAAAATTCGTAATAAAGATATGTGTTTTATCCGATTTTATTTGCATTATGTATATAGTATACATAGGCAAACCGATTGGCCACTAAAATTGTGTTGATTTTTTTTTGCATTGCAAATCGGTAGTGTCTATATCTTAAGTTTGTATAGTATTCTTCCTATAACATATTTGATATTACCCTCACTTAGATTTGAAATAGAATTTGCCATGAACGATTTAATTCGTCGTATATATACGATCCGTTGAATTTTATTATCGCTAAGGCTAAAAAAACCTTTCTTGCTCTTTTTGCTTTTTTTTAGAGTGTATTTTTGCAACTTCTTCGGGAATTTGGTTCCTAACCTCATTGTAATCTTTTTCGGGCTTCATGTTCTTCATTTGGTTTCTCTATAGTGAAGATGTTTCTCTAACTACTCTCCAAAATAACTCCTTAGGATCTCATGATGTCCATCCTCTAAAGATGTCATTTTTCGAAGTAATTTTATTTTCCTTTACGTGCGAGTGTTATTCTGGTCTTTTATCATAATACATTAACAGAAAAAATAATATATACGTAATTAAATTTTTTTTATACAATACAAACCTGTGTTTCCATCTACGAATAAACTATGCACAAGCGGGATTATTATTATCTGTTATATAGAATTTTTCATATCAATATAAACATTTTTTTTATATATAAAACGTTAAAACTTTTACGTAGAAAATTATTACAATTAATATATGGCGCAGAAGTCATGTGAGTGTGACCTTCGAGGTCACGTCCACGTGACTTATACGATTGGGGGTTTATCAGGAATTTGAGATATTACATAGTTAATTTGATCAACGGTTAACTTGGCAATTGTTAATGCACTAAAAGATTCTATTCGTCCTATCTTATTTGTTCCTATCTTACTAAATAAATGAAAAATCTTTTGGGCTCTTTCTTTTCTTTTTCGAATAGTAGTTTCAGGAGTACCATCGGGAAGTTGTTTTTCAATTTCTTTGTTTACCTCACTATTAGCATCATTTACATTATATGATTTTTCATAATGAA